TTTTAATATAATTACCTGTAGTTATTTGAGTTCTATAACATAAGTTTCATTAGATTGGTCGATACACATAGTCCAGTTCAGGTTAGAAATTAGGGTAGAAATATAAAATAATTCCACTTCGGAATAACTCAATAAGTTACAAATATCACTGTTGTATAATAAGAGTAAACTTGTTGAGAGAAATTAATACAAAGATATGGAAAAAAATTACAAGTAAAACACTTGAAGAGAGCACAAACTAAATGTTACAACACGAGTACTGCCAAATGAAAAGTGATTGTTCGGTAGAATTAAAAAGAGGAAGTCACATGTGTCAAGAGAGTATTTCACACCCTTATTAGTAAAGTGTTGTCTCATGATGATTCACATGCAAGATGCATTGGAATCAGTCAATTCCAGATGAGTGGGTGCTTCAAGACTTGTGGCATGCTGAGAAAAGTTTTGCATAAAGAGGGCAGCATTGAACAAGAATAACTATTTATATGAGAAGAGGTAAGTACATATCGGAAGTATATTTTCAGTATAGGAAAATTATAACTTTTGTGAAAGAGCATCGGTTAGAAAATACTGCAGAACAGCATTTCAGTGGTACATTGGTACTTCATGTATCTACTTTCAGTTTCTGATGAGTATCTGCTTGTTTGTTAATTTCCGGTAGAAATTCTTTCCCAGGAACTTCAGCAATACAAGTCCTTTCTTGATTAAACCAGTTTATTTTTTCTCAATACAAACTTTTAGTACACAGGAATTCCACAGTCAGTACATTTCTCGTCACTTTAAACTTAACAACTTTTATATTACACGCTATAAATCACAGTGATTCACAATCTCGATAACTTCGCTCTCGATGAGTACAAAACACACACTTTATTATTCCCAGTAGCTTTCTCTGCCAGGCTTATATACTAAAGAAGAGGGCGTCTCGAATAAACTCGGTCTTCCCCGATAATTCGAGAAACTTCACGCACGCTACCAGCGCCACGTGACTTCCGCTGTTGTAACAGTTCCTTATTCTATATGACTTCCAGTAAGTACACCACAGATTTAGTACATTCCTTATTCTATATGACCACAGGTTTTGTACATTCCTTATTCTATATGACTTCTCATATATATACACTACGTTTTTTGTAAGTTTCCTCCTTTATCTTAAACAATTATTTAACAAACACCTGTGTGTCAGCTTGTGAACCACTAGACCGACAGTAACCAAACCTGGTGTGTACCCTCTGGGAAGCGACATAAAGGGTAACATTCAGATCAGATACCCTATATTACCCCTGGGGACTCCTATCTCTTCCCAGTACAGTGAACGAGGTATTTCAACTGCTACAACACTTCCAGTGGGGAAACCACTGTTTTCATCAGTTTTTCGATGTAAAACTTTCCCAGACCAAAAGATATAGAATTAATCTTTTCATGTATAATTTGTTATTATCTTAATTTGAACACAGAATATAATACAAATATTTTTGGTGTAGCTCAACAACTTCAGCCTGACCCTAGTGACCCAACCAAGTGGCAGGTGGTAGCAGCATCCCCTGTAGTATCTGCTGCCCAACCTCAGCCGTCCACTACACAAGCACAGGTTTCGACATCTTCAACCTCTACCTCTACTGACGGTAGCAACACTCCAGAGTATCCTCGCAGAATACGCCGGGTAGCCTGTACTTGTCCTAACTGTCGAGACGGAGAGGGAAGGTAAGCCTTAAACTTTATTTGTTACACTTCAGTATGAAATGAATTAATGTTAGTGGTGAATACTGAAGTGCTGTTACTTGTAAATAATATGTTAACACTATTTTAAAGAGCTAACTGTATTTCTCTGGTCTGCTGACCCAAACTGTGCTGATGAGCAAAACTGCAGTCCACAGCAGAGGGTGTGGCAAATCAAGGAATGCATTAGGCCTCTATGTCACAGATTATATTTTGAATTGTATTTTTGGGAAAATAAAATAAATTTGTAATATAATCATTAAACAGTTGGTCCACTTTATAATATTGAATATTAGATTAGGTGCAGTGTAATTATATTCCAAAAACTCGTGTATAAAACTTACAACATGTAAGCCATATTCTTCATAGGATCCCTCAGTGTGTGTGTATATAATTTTGAGGATTTGAAAAGTAATTTTCTGAATTCCAGACTTTGGAATCTATGTGTAATGAGAAAATATACACTTGTGATGTTTTGTAATCTGTGTGTAATGCGAAATTACACCTTGTGATGTTTTGTTTTCTCATTATACACAGATTATTATACACAGATTCCAAAACATCCCAAGCATCCAGTTTCTCATTATACACAGATTCCAAAACATCCCAAGCATCCAGGTTTTCGGTATCATAATCTTTAAGTTGCTTACAGACATCTTATTTTTTCCTCCTTGTTTTTACTTAAACTCACTTTCTATTTCATGACTTTTTTATTATTTATTTCTTGTTATTTTTGTGGGGATTATTATGAAGTATGAACACATTTATATTCATGTCGATGATAAGTAAATATTTTTTTTTGCTGTTATTTTACAGTTATATTAACACTAGAATCCCAGAATTTGTTATAAATGGATGTTTTAATACTATGAAAAATCTTAAAATGTCAGTTTTAGAAAATTAAAAAAACAACATCAATCCAACTCATAGAGGTAGGAAGTCTATGAAAGTTCTTTTTTTTTATTACTAATATAAACATTATAAACTATCATCATATATTTGCGGTATAAAATTAACCATATGATGGAAAATTTACTTTTTATTTTGGAACAGAACCATTTACAGTTCAAACTGTTTGTGTAATATTAATATCTTAACTCCACTGAAACGTTTCCCTTAGAAACAGTGAAACAAAGAAGAAGCAACACATATGTCATGTACCAGGGTGTAATAAAGTTTACGGCAAGACTTCCCACCTTCGGGCTCATCTTCGCTGGCACACAGGAGAAAGACCATTTGTCTGTAACTGGCTGTTCTGTGGAAAACGGTTCACTCGTTCTGATGAACTCCAGCGACATAAAAGAACACACACGGGTACATTTAATTTAATTTGATATCTAGGTTCTTTTTGAGAGATTAAATCTAAATAGCTTAAGATTTTGAGACCACCGTTCACAAAGCGTACTTGTGAGGGCTTCAGTTTTAATAAATTTCAGATAAAAGTAGGAATGTATTAAATCTTGATATGTGAAAGTTATTACATTACATTGGTCAGATGGGATGTGGCTGTCTTTGATTGAAACTAAGTTAACACTTAGTAAGGTGGTAAAGATTTTGTTTACATACACAACTTCGTACTTTTTTGTACCAAAGGACATATCCAGGTTATCTAATGACTACAGCTGAATTCACTGCTCTGGTTTTGTTAACCATGCAGAGATATGGTTTAAAACGTGAACCATATTTCTTTATATTGAATAACAAATCGTCTAGCCCCCGAAGTGGTAGGCCTGGAGGCTTACAATGCTAAAAACTGGGTTTAAATACCCGTGATGGGCACAGCACAGATTGACCATTGTGTAGTTTTGTGCTTCGTAACAAACAAAACATTTATTTTGCCACATTTCTAAGACTCATTTCAACTTTTACTATTGTAGTATAAAAAATCAGAAATGTTTATTATCTTCTGAACTATGAAACCTGCTGGATGTAATTCAAGTCAAGCATTGATTTTTGTCTTCTGTAGGAGAGAAAAGGTTTCAATGTGCTGAATGTCTGAAACGATTTATGAGGAGTGACCATTTGTCCAAACATCTGAAAACCCATCAAAGCAAGAAACTCGGTGCTTCTTCTTCAGAAGGAAACAGTGAAGAAGGAACTCTTGAGAATTGTGACTTAGTGATGACAGTGGTGGAAACTGACCAAGATCATGAGCTGTTAATCAGTGAGCCTACTTTAGATGTAAACCAGTAGATGAGTGTTTGTACATGTGTGTGTATATAACACACACACACACAAAAGACTAATCACAAATAATTTTACGGTCATATTCACTTTCTACATAAAGCTGTATTTGTTACCAAAACAGTTGTTGCATTTTCGTTTTTTAAAACTACTTGTTATTCTAATAATGTAGAAAATACTCTGTCTACTATATAGTAAAGGAAATAAATAACACCTAAATATTGAAAAGAAGGACAGTCACAGAGATCTTCCAGTAGCTTCACTGCTTTTTGTTATTCAAGAAATTCAAATACACAGAACCTATGTTCCAATACTGTATAGAAATTTTTTTATAAAATTGCCTGCTTTTTTTTTGTGGTTGTTTTGCTGTCATCCACTGGTTTTACACCTAAATAAGATACCATATTTAATTTCAGATATTTGGAAGTATGGGGTTTCTTGTGAGTCAACCTGTTGTTTGTGCTACCCCCTGCTGGGCTTATATCTAAACAATTTGATTACAGATGTTTCAATGTCCAATATTCTTTTAAAATGAAATCATGTATATATATATTCCTTAGACTTCCAGTCCTCTCGAAGGTCGTTACCCTTTACCATATAAAAATGTTCTCCATTCTTAGTTTTGATTTTGTATACCCTTCTTTCAGTACTAGTACTTTTATATTTTTGTAATAAATCTGATAAATAATTTTTCAATCTACTTGAAGTTTGTTGTAAATTTTGTTCAGTTTTTTTTTTTGTTATTGCATCCTTAATATTTTTTCAGTATTTTCATGTTGTTCTTCTTCAACTATTTTAGCAATTATTTCAGGATTTCCACTCTACCCAATTGCTATCTTTATGTCACATCCCATCTGTTTCTTTGCCAATTATTTTCAAGCAATGATGTGGTCATCTTTATCTTCAAAGTAGCCAAAATATATGCACAATTCTTTTCTTTTTTCTCAGTTCTCCTTAGTTCCATCTGCCAGCTATAAAAGGATATATTTCTGTATAAACCCAGTGTCCTTGTTTTATATTTTGCTTATGTTTTTATCTTTTCTTCCATTTTCCATCCACAGTTAATAGTAGTCAACTAGGTTTCCAAGCAAGTACTGCTACCTGTCCATATCCTGTTTCTTTTAATACAGCCAACTGACCCTATCCTGTTTCTTTTAGTAAGTACAGTTTGTCCATAACCTGTTTGTGTTTTCACCCCAATATATTATTTCTGTTCCCCAGCTATATTCATGTTATTAAACTAATATTTCAAATATTTATACTTTTTAACCACTTTTATCCCCATTTTCCATTCTTTGCCATTCATCCTTCCTCTCTAAAAACTGTCATCTGTGATTTATCTAAATTTAAAGCTATTTTATTCTTCTCAGTGTGTCTTTCAAGTATCCCAAGCATGCTCTTCATTTCATCTGGATAATCTTCCAACATTACAGCATTATCCACAGATTTTTTTTTACCTCACACTTTTCCTCTACTATTTCTTTCCATCCGTATACTTTTCTAAATCATTTAAATGTATTGAGAAGAGCATAGGACTTAATAGGCAGCTTTGTCTAACTCCTTTTACTGTCAAAAAACGTTGATATTTTATCTTTTAATTCTCTTTATCATCTCTTTCTATATATATGTCTTTTACCATATTTAACATTTTACGAATATTGCTATTTTAAAATTATTGTATTAGTTCTAAGGGCATGAACTAACCGAAACGTTCCTTGGCTTTAGTTTTCTTCAAACCATTTGATTTTAAGATGAAAAATACTTTTATGCATCAGAAAATTTTCAAATTTCACAAATCTTTATATGACCTCCAAATAATTTTCAAACGTTTTTTTAGAAAAAGCTTTATATTTTACCTCTTATTTTCTCTACTATGGGTTGGGTCAATTTGACCGACCTCGTAACCACCATAAAAAATTAGGAAATAAATATAAATTATGTTTTGTTCATTCTACAATGACTACAAATTATAACACAAAAACACAAATAGCTTAAATCTCCTAACATTACACACATGTATATTATATTGACCTTTCAGCCATGCCTGGCTAACATTACAGAAGTTGCAATGAGGTGCCGCATTTTACCGTATCCAAGAATATAAAATGCCTTTACAAAGTGATCTGTCTTGGCTGTGTTTTAGTGGGCTACTATTTTGTAAAATACAGTCACGTTTCAGTTATAATACATTATTTATGTATATACATTATTACTATTTTGAAATAAGTTCTTAAACTCATTTTTCTTAAAACATAGAATACTATATAATTATAAAGAAGTATAGAAACAATTATCTCTTTTAGTTACAAGCTTTGTGCTTCTTCGCTGCTTGCCGTAGGTTGCTAAGCCTTATCAAATTTCGCACGTGGAGGATGTGAAATGAAATAATTTTTTTAGGTTTTATATATACATTTGAAATAACCAAAAACCATAGAATTCTACTATAATTTATCAAGCTTAGTAACTAAGCTGTATTTGGGTCTAAAAAATATGATATTTGGAGCACACTAATGTCTTACCTTAACGCTTAGACTCTTAGCATGAAAATAAATATTTTTCTGCGCAAATATTTTGCAAAGGCTGAGAAAACCACTAGGGAGACATTTGAGCTTTCGATTGGTTATCCACACGCCATTGGACGAAGTTGGTGTAAGTCAGCAGGCATTTTCAAAAATTGAAGAGGTGGGTGGGGCCACCTTGGTTGATTCAATAAATATATTAATACCTCAGAAAACATAAAAGAAAGGATGTTCTTATTTTATTGTCAATATCGGTAATTTGACTGTCTAATTCGTAAGAAACTATTGACTTAGTATTTGAACATCACAAACATCTAATTTGAACCAATACTGCATTCAACATACCATGTGACACAAAAAAATTTATATATATATATAGTTGTTGCTTTTTACTATTTAAGTTAAGAAATTAACTAATGTATAATACTAAAATTTGAATTATAATCTACAATTTGATACCAATCTTATTGACATACATTCATAAAATAGTCGTTAAATAAAATTTTGAATGCGAGTCAACAAATGCGATGACATGGCCTTTGACCCATGTCGGTAAGGTTAAACTCTTTCCTTTCTTTAAACATTTTAATTGCTTTTCAAATTCCTCTTTTGTCCATCAACTATCCAATTCCTCTTCTGTCCATCAACTATCCGATTTCTCATCTGTTATTACTTTTCCCCATTTTCTTTTATGCAGTTTGTTCTCTCCATTATGCCTTCTAAAATGTTCTCTTTATTCTTCTATTGTCCACTGCCCTTCATCTTTCCTTTGAACATATTTACTGCTTGTACACTGTCCTACCTTTCTCCTGAACATATTCACTACTTGTCCACCATCCTTCATCTTTCTTCTGAATATATTACTGTTTGTCTACTGTCCTTCCTTTATCCTGAACATATTCACTACTTGTCCACCATCTTGCTTCTGAATGTATTACTGCTTGTTAACTGTCCTTCATATTTCTCATGAACATATTCATAACTTTCCAAAACTCTTTTGTTTTATATTTCCCAGATCTTCCTCTCTTAATTTTTATATATAATTGCTGCAATTCATTTCTTCTTTTAACACATTCTTTCTCTCTATTTTGTTTTCCCATTGACTGAAATTTTTTCAGTTGCTTTCTCCTTTCAGCTCTTTGCTCTTTACATTCTCACTCAAACCACCAATTTCTTTCTTTTTGTTTGACTTTTCATTAATACTCTGCCTACTGTAATTTTCCAAGTCATGTGATGTACTTGAGCAATTTCCAGTGGGATGAACCCATATGCCTTCTTTACTAGTTCTCCACTTCTGACTTTTTTACTGGTTCCCATTTCACCTTCTAATTCTTCTACTCCTGTTTATTAATTCATCAATTTTTTTCTATGAATCCTACTAAATTTTGTTTTAAATCATGAATTTATGCTTCAAATTGCATCTTTTTTTCTGTTTTCTTATTTTTAGCTCTTGTTCTAAAGGTTACTTACAAGTTATCTAATTGTTTTTTATTGTGTTTAACTTCTTATAAAATTTCTTTTAATCAATTTTTTATCTTATCTTTTCTGTATCTATATCTAATGTTTTTTTTTGTTGTTAAAGTACAGTTTTAAAATATTACACTTTCATCTTAAGCCTTGAGTTAAATCTCTCGGGTAGTTTTGTACTGATAGTATTATCATCTTGATGGAAGTAAGATGTTGGCTCAGTAATAAGCTGCTCCAGTGGGACAACCATAAATCTACGATACTTAAAACCCTGAAATCTGAAGTGTGATTCCTCATGGCGAACACAGGTCTTGAACAAACAAACCGTAATAAGCTAAGGACAGTTTGGAAGGACATTATGTTAAGTAAAGTTTACCATACATTGTGCAGGCTATGTTTTAATCTTTTTTCTTCTCTTTTGATGTAATTTATAAATTTTAGTATTTATTGGACTTTTGTGTGACATCAAATGGTACTGTTGCAATGTTGTTGGCATTAGGCCAATTTTTTAAGTATTAGCATTGATAAGAGAGTCGTATATACAGAAAAGTTGTTGTTGGGCAAATGCTTAGTTGTATAGTTGAACCTTAATCTAAAAATTTAGTGTTTTGGTTTGTAAAATTTTAAATTCTGGTGTTTAATCTGAAATATGATTGGTTTGTTAAATCTATGTGTAATGTGTTCTTACTTATTCTAGGGTTTTGTTTTGTAGGACATGTTCCTAATAATTAAGATAGAAGTGTCTATTGGGGCTTGTAGTCCTGATAGCTTATTTGGAAGAGTACCATTCTCAGAGAGAGAACTACCACAATCTGGAGTGTCTGGGTTCAAGCCCCAGACAGAGTAGAATATTATTTTCTGTAAAGAGAAGTGGAACAATAGTTAAAAATGGTCAAGTTATATAGTTTGTAGTAGAAGCTTTTGTAATATTCTGTTCTTCTGACAAAAGTCACAAAGGTCTAAACCAATTCATCTAATGATAATCTTTTTTATGTATGTCCTTCAAAGCAACACTATTTTTTAAGACTTTTAAGTGGTTAGTGTCTTAGGGTTTATGAATCTAACAAGTGACTGGGCTATTTGTTTTATACAAATAGCAAAGCGTGCTAGTAGGACTTGCTCAAGTTACTGTGACTCATCTTACTGTGTTTGGACTGAATGTATTATGTTAGTACCTGGATAACAACTGTTTACGTAAAGTATGGTAATGTTAGTAACTGGATAACAACTGTTTACGTAAAGTATGGTAATGTTAGTAACTGGATAACAACTGTTTACGTAAAGTGTGGTAATGTTAGTAACTGGATAACAACTGTTTACGTAAAATATGGTAATGTTAGTACCTGGATAACAACTGTTTACGTAAAGTATGGTAATGTTAGTAACTGGATAACAACTGTTTACGTAAAGTATGGTACATGCTCAGCTGAATATTATCCATCTTTAACATTCTTAATTGTTTGTGTGACTTGCCTAAACAGTGAACAGAGAAAAGTAATACTTGCTAAGGATAATGTCTGTCATATCATATGGCATTTTGATATTCTAAGATCTGTTTATGATTATAATTACATGTGAATCTTACTATGCAGTAACATACAAAAACAGAGAAATATGAAGATTACTTTCTAGTATACATCAGCGAATGTAACTAAGCTTGTTGAAGCATTTTCTTTGCTACTGCCAGCACTCACTGCTTTGCTCACCCAAATATAAAGTTTTGTAAGTCATGTAGTTTGAGATACATTCCTTATACACACACTTTTTAAAAGTAAAATACAAAATGGTTGTTCTGTTCTGAGTTTTATAAAAGAAAAAATATCATCTTTCATTTATTCTCTCTTGAGTAGACATGCAAAACATTTTGATTAGTTAGGGCAGGGCATTACTACATTATCTTTCATTACCACATAAAGGGCAGAGCATTACTACATTATCTTTCATTACCACATAAAGGGCAGAGCATTACTACATTATCTTTCATTACCACATAATCTTTCTCAAATATCTGGTGATTTGCAGCATTCTTTGTAAGATTTATCTGGGATCAAAAAAGTGAGGTATGAATAAAATAAAAACTTAAAAGTTGCTGTTTTCAACATACATACATCATTATTCAGTTTTCACTATATCACCTTGCTACATTAAGATATTTTATACATACATCATTGTTCAGTTTTGACTGTATCACCTTGCTACATTAAGATATTATACATACATCATTGTTCAGTTTTCACTATATCACCTTGCTACATTAAGATATTTTATACATACATACATCATTGTTCAGTTTTCACTATATCACCTTGCTACATTAAGATATGTTATACATACATCATTGTTCAGTTTTCTCTCTGTATCACCTTGCTACATTAAGATATTTTATACATACATACATCATTGTTCAGTTTTGACTGTATCACCTTGCTACATTAAGATATTTTATACATACATACATCATTGTTCAGTTTTGACTGTATCACCTTGCTACATTAAGATATTTTATACATACATACATCATTGTTCAGTTTTCACTATATCACCTTGCTACATTAAGATATTTTATACATACATACATCATTGTTCAGTTTTCTCTCTGTATCATCTTGCTACATTAAGATATTTTAAGCATACACATATCCTTCTTCAGTTTTCTCTCTATATCACCTCGCTGTATTAAATATTTTATACATATAAATCTATTTTAACTAGTTTCTACTGATACATAGTATTAAATAAAATGTCAAGATTATTTTTTATAACAAAATAATTTCTTTGTGGCCAGGTACCAAACTTTGTGATTTAAATTATTGGCCTGATAGAAAATGGTAAAATTTGTTAGCATCAGTGTGATATGTATAAATATTTATGGTTTGATTAATTTTACATTATTATAATATATTTGAGAAAGAATCACTAATTCAGTTTATTTTATGTTGTTTTATGTATTTAGATTTGTTATTTCAAAAAATTGTCAGTATTTTCTCAAGCTTGAAGAAAATACAATATATATATATATATTTAATGTGGTGTATTTACATAGTAACTTGTACATTAAGACTGGAGTATCCCTAAGTTACAGAATTATTATTTGTAATTTGTTTTCTCTACTTGTAATGTTTTAAAAACAGCTATTCAAGAAGACATGATCTTTCAAAATTATACTTATAATTTTATCTGTTTTGTTTGGCTTGTGTTAAATGTGTAGATGTGTTGTTAAACATATGTAGTGGGAAGTTTGTTTTTGGTGTGTTTTAACTGATTTAAAGTAAACTGATACAGTTGCAAAACCTCAAGAGGAATATTTTCAAATTTCATCCACAATTTGAAATGATGAATGTGCAGGGTAAGTGAGAAGTAGCTAGAGAATGGAAAGTGATACAGTGCTTACCCATATAAAATTAATATCAGTGACTTTTTCACAAAGATTTATAAGAAGGTGAGAGCATTGTTAGAGATCAGGTAATACTGACAGGAATAAAGATGATGAGCTCATTGTTAAATATCAGGTAATATAGATAGGAGTAAAGGAGATGAGTGTATTGTTAGAGATCAGGTAATACTGACAGGAATAAAGAGGATGAGCTCATTGTTAAATATCAGGTAATATAGATAGGAGTAAAGGAGATGAGTGTATTGTTAGAGATCAGGTAATATAGATAGGAGTAAAGGAGATGAGTGTATTGTTAGAGATCAGGTAATACTGACAGGAATAAAGAGGATGAGCTCATTGTTAAATATCAGGTAATATAGATAGGAGTAAAGGAGATGAGTGCATTGTTAGAGATCAGGTAATATAGATAGGAGTAAAGGAGATGAGTGTATTGTTAGAGATCAGGTAATATAGATAGGAGTAAAGGAGATGAGTGCATTGTTAGAGATCAGGTAATATAGATAGGAGTAAAGGAGATGAGTGTATTGTTAGAGATCAGGTAATATAGATAGGAGTAAAGGAGATGAGTGCATTGTTAGAGATCAGGTAATACTGACAGGAATAAAGAGGATGAGCTCATTGTTAAATATCAGGTAATATAGATAGGAGTAAAGGAGATGAGTGTATTGTTAGAGATCAGGTAATATAGGAGTAAAGGAGATGAGTGCATTGTTAGAGATCAGGTAATATAGATAGGAGTAAAGGAGATGAGTGTATTGTTAGAGATCAGGTAATACTGACAGGAATAAAGAGGATGAGCTCATTGTTAAATATCAGGTGATATAGATAGGAGTAAAGGAAATGAAAAGTATGAAGATGGTTGTTTTCTTAGAATTGACATGTATCATTATGTATGTCATTTGGAAAATAACAAAGATGAATTAGTCTTTTCTTGCCAGCCAATGTGTGATGAAAACCTTAAAACAGTTTTGTCACACATATACTTGCCATAGCTAGGATGACAGAATTGTTTTGTTTTTGCTATAAAATGAGAAAAGGTAGACAAATGGAATGTAGATGGCTTGATATTTTATATTGAGAGAGACTCTTAAGAATAGAAATTTTCATTTAATCATATGAAGTTTTTTGTTGTTGTTATTAATAGTTACTGATATAGAGCTAGGCTAAAATACATAAATAAAACCATCTGGTGGTTAAATGCAAACTTATTATCAAGTGCACAAGCTTATGACTCTTATACATATCACTGTAAATTGAATAATAACTTGTTATAGATATGTGTGATTATATTTCATTTGTTAGAAAGGGCAAAGATTTTGTCGAAGAGTTGAACCAGTTTGCGAACAGTATATTAAGCAGGGTTATTGGTGTGTTCATTATCAAATGTAAATTGTACAATAAACATTATTGTTTTAAAACTGAGTTTGCTTGCTTGTTTTATTGTACAACTTTATAATACATAAAATATCACTGTGGATATAGGAAATTCAAACCAGACTGAAGAATTTTCATTCAATACTCACTTTGGCAATAATAATTCCAAGAACAAAAATCACTTGAAAAAAGCTCATGTAAAGAGTTAATAAACATTTGAAGTCTATGAAAATTAGTGTATTCACATGGATACTCCAGCTTTGGTACATTGTTAAGAGTGGTTAAGCCCAGAAACTTTGCCCAGTGGTGAACTTAAGTACTGTACACTGAAGATTTTAAAACCTAGAACCTGTTAACCAAATTGTCTTTATGGTGATAAGTGTATATGTGAATAACGTGTTTATTTATTTATTGTAAAAGGAAACCATTGAAGACGTTTTTTATCATCTATCTTTGTGGGGAGTGTCTTGATTGCTTATTTAAATACTTAGGTTTAAACTCTGTTAATTGGTTCATTTTTTACATGGTCATCATTGATCTTAGTGACATTTTATGATAATATTAATATTACAAACTTTAAATGTGAACCCAGTTCAGATTGTAATGAACCTCTTTACTAGAGGTGGGATTTGCCAATGGTTATCTTTAACCACAGGGCCATAATCACGAAGGTTAGCCTTAAGTCATATTCAGGCAATCATAACTACAGATAACATTTCAGGTTATTGATAATGATGAATTTCTTGAGATTTTTAATGCATTAAGATACTACTAATCTACCTTGTTTGTCGAATGTTTTTGATTTATCAAAGCATAATTATGATCCTGACCACTATATCAACCCTACTTCAAGTAAGTATTATAAAACTGAGAATCTGACTGATGTACTTTATAACAAACAGGAAAATTATTGACTTGTATATACATTTTAATATGGTGTCTCACCAAAAGTCTTAATATAACTTGAGAAATACTATAGGAACTTCCATGACTTCCTGAAATAATTCCAATTTCTGAAACTAAATTGAATGACAATATTAATTACAGTATAGCTACACCTAATTATGAATTAAATATATATATATAAGGAAGGTTTCTCTAACTAATGCTGGTGGGGTGGGGTTGTTTGTTCTTTAAAATGTTTAACTTAATATGAAAGATATTTAGTTATCAGCTTCTAACTGTGAAGATATGTGGGTTGAACTTGAAAATGAACAAAAGAAAATCAAAGCAATAGCAATTATAGTAATTTATTGTCACCCAGATTGTTCCATAGGACAAGTTGAACAAGAATTACAAAAATATATTTTGAAACTTAGTTCAAAAAAATGTTAATTATTATATGTGTGTGTTCATAAATATTGATTTACTTAAGTCTGATACTAATAACAACAGCATTTGTTAGTTAAATACAATTTTTTCTGAAGAAATTATTTCCCTAATAACTAGATCAACTAGAATAAAGTTGACAACTTGGACTTTAATTAATCATATCTACACCAACAGTTTTCTTAGTCTACATCTGGTGTACTAATTCACGATATATCGAATCATCTAGCGCATTAACTGATTGTATTTATACCAATAATTCTCTTGATAAGACTATGTCTGGTACAATAATTATTCAGAATATATCGAATCATCTAGCACATTAACTGATTGTATTTATACCAATAATTCTCTTGATAAAACTATGTCTGGTACAATAATTATTCAGAATATATCGAATCATCTAGCACTTTAACTGATTGTATCTATACCAACAATTCTCATAATCAGACTCCACCTGGTGTAATAACTTATGATTTATCTGATTATCTATCAGTATTTGTTCTAATTAAATCTGTTCAAATGTTCATGCGAGTTAACTATGAGGGATATGAAACATCTTAACAAAGAAGGTGTGTCTAACAAAAACGTATTGAAAGTGTTGTATTCACTTAATATAAAAATGGGTGATATAAATGAGGCTTCCTAAGAACTTTGCTGTTTTTTATTTCTGTAATGCATCCCTTAAAACAACGATAAAGAAAGACAGTAGACCTAAACCGTGGATAACTCCACTTATATTAAACTCTATCAAAACCAGATATAAAAATGTATCAAATGTACTACTTGCAAGGAAATGATATAAAAAAACATATTTGTAAAAATGACTCAAACAATCACATATTAAAGAAAGCTGTAAAAGGACATATTACAATGAGTATTTAAGACAGTAAATATAGTACAAAAAACTTGATAAGGTATTAGTAATATAGTTAGGTTTGTTTGTTGTTAAGTGCAAAGCTACACAGTGGGCTATCTGTACTGTGCCCAACACTAGTATTGAAAAGAATTTATTTTTCAGTGTTATACAGACTCACCACTGAGCAGTGTTTGAAGAGAACTGTTACGTCTCCGTTTGTTAATTAACTTCCCGTAACTTCGTTCCGACGAAACTTTAACGACACAAGCCTTTACTTAATAAAACTGGTTTATTCTTTCCGAATATAACTTTACGATACACTTAATTTCAATATTGGCGCTAAAACAAACACTATAACGAACGAACGTTAACTTCAACAATACCCTGTGACTGCAGTTCAATTACTCACTATCTACACACACATTACATTCCATTCCCGTCACGTTGTCACCCTCTTTTATATACCAGACAACCCTATATCTAGTAAATACTAGAGCATTCGCCAAGGTACAGGATAGTTCTAGAAAATAGGTGGCGCCACACCAGTCACGTGACCTCGATGACGCAAGAGAACTATGTCTTAAAGCTCTGGGGACCACTAACTGCACCATAGGCTGAGAACCTCAGCTTGGTGGTTGATAGCAATGGTGTCTTCACAACTTTATGCATTCATAACTGACCATACAGGTGTCACAGGTCAAGTGACAACATCGGGTAATATTTCTGTTATGGTTGAGTTCCACCTTGCCGAATGGTAAATAGCATCCATGCTTTACTGAGTCCTTCAGTTGTTCTTCCATCAAAGTACTAATTGTGGAATCCATCTAATAGTGGAATTTCCTATTGTAAAACACACAAGTTTTCATTTTCCACACATGTCCAGGGTAAGCATATTCACTGAACAGACAGGGTTTCAGGTGGTGTGTCCAGGGTAAGTACATTCAGTGAACAGACAGGATCTCACTGTGCAGTGAAACAATTCCTTGCCATTTATATGTTGCAATATGAGTAAGTCATATTCTTGTAACATTGTTATCCCTGTTCTGGATTTTTAAACTTAATTAACCATTTCAGCAAAGCATGGCCCACCCAGACAGTGAAGGTTTTGGAGATTAGACACAAACTATCTGTGATATGATATTGTTACGTATCTGCTTGTTTGTTAATTTCTGGTAGAAATTCTTTCCGAGGAACTTCAGCGATACAAGTCATTTCTTGATTAAACCAGTTTATTCTTTCTCGATACACACTTTTAGTACACAGTAATTTCACAATTACTACGTTTCTCGTCACAATTACTTTTATAATACACGCTATAATCACATCGATTCACAGTCTCGATAACAAAACACACACTAGCTCGAAACAGAATCGTAAAATACCCGGAATTCTCTTCATTCAACGCCGCAGGCTTTCTCTGCCAGGCTTATATACTAAAAAAGAGGGCGTCCCAAACAATCTCGGTCTTACCCGATAATTCATGATCATTCGAGAAATTCATAACGTGTTACCAGCGTCACGTGACTCCGCTGTCTTAACAATATAAATGTATCCAAGAGAGTTAATTTTTCAATAGAACTCAAATGTTGATCTAGTAACGGCATACTCATATTCTTTCTGCTCATAAGCCAACATACAAAGAAATTAACTACAAAAAATCACGAAAAATAGATAAAACTGGGCTTTTAAAAATATTATTCGTTAGAAGTTCCATTTTATATACCCAATTAGCTCTAACTTGATTCATTTTTATCCATTATCTATATTTGTTATTTATCTTCACCTATTGAACTTTGTAGCAGTTATGTAGCCGCTAAATCAGCATAAAACACCTATGGCAGTAAAAGCATTGACCAGTAGAAATACAACTTGCGCTCGTAACCTAAACCAACACTGATATAGGCAATATTTTCCAAACATTGTTTTTGTCAAGCTCAGTATTTCTCTAATAATTATAGTTTGTTTTCAATAACGAAGGAGTTCTTTTGCTTGTATGTGTTGTTTGAATAATAAAATGTTACTAATATACACAAATAAAAAAGCTTGTTTGTCATCTGAATAATTTACCATCCCAGAGCTCCTAGCTTACTGTACTCGTTAACCCAACCTTATGTATTTTAGTATAACAATATTCCTGTAGTTTTAAAACATACATAAAAATAACACAACTAGCTTATCCCAAATAAGCACGGTAAAGAAAAAAAAGAAACAATCTCATATTTGTGAGAGATGACTACCTTCATTACGTGAGCAACATCTCCAAGATATAGGGTGTCCATGCCCAACGTGTGTGTATATATATATGTCATGTGCAATGACCGAAATTGGGCAATGTAGTCATGTTAACAAGATGATGTTTTCATTTCCCTCTGTTCTTTTTATGATATAATTCAATATGGGTTTTCCAGAGAGCAGTTAGTTAGGACCACAGATAAGAGGTTCATTATATCGAAAAGTATGGATCAATTACTTTCCACACTGACTGAGTTGGTCACAAAGAAAAAGTCAACACATAAAATTGTATAAACAACAATCTTTAAAAGACAAAAACAACCAAAGCAAAACATAAGACAATGAAAAAACAACAAGACAAAAACAAATGGCAAGTGTTTATAAAGGGAGAGTTAGACTTGCAAAAGAGAGAGAGATGTGAAAACGAAACCTTTATTGGTTTTCTATTACCAGTCCTATGTGAGCCACTCATCACAGACCAGTAAAATAAAGAAAAGAAAAAATAAATGAAAAACAAAAAAAAGCTCTAAAAGTAAACTGAAACACAGTAAAAGACATATTTTAAAGTTAAACAGAAATTCTTTAAATGAAAATCAAAACTCTACTAAAAATAAAATAAACTTACCAAATTTGTAAGTAAAAACCCTGAATCTTAGTCAAATTATGCCTAACTGGAAAGAGCAAACTACAAAGCAGAATTGGCCATGCTTACCCATATACACGACTTTTGTCTACTACAATTCAAGTGAAAGAGTGGAGAAGACCACTCCCTCATTCAAAAACAGAAAAGATAGCCTTTTACCATGAGCTTTTTCTTTTGCAAGAGATTGTTTGTTTTGAATTTCGCCCAAAGCTACACGACGGCTATCT